AAAATAAAAAGCCAGTGACTGAGCAAGGAGGGGAAACATTTTTCTCAACTGACATACCGTCAGCACTCGAGGAAAAACTGTGTTGAGGAAAAACGACGCGTTTAAACCATGTATCATGTCAAAATGTCTACAGCGTGTGTATAAAGATAGAACCAAGTCCAGATAGATGCAGCACCTCCAGCTCCAGCACTGTTTATGGCTGGGATAATGGGCTTGTACATGTACTCTACACTGCCCTCCACTAATATTGGCACCCTTGGTAAATATGAGGAAAAAAGGCTGTGAAAAATTGTCTTTATTGTTCAACCTTCACAAAAATACTTTGTTAAATATAGATGTGCAACAATCCGTGTATCGTTCGTTCTTTTCATATTCACTTAAGAACCAAATATCAGAAAATGAAAAAAAAAATGGCTTGTTCTTTTATTATTCGTTTACACATAACACGTTGTTTTCCGTTCTTTCAATCTCATGCTCAAGTTTTAAAAAAAAATAAAATAATTAGAAAATGGGTCTAATGTCAGGTTTCATATCAACGTCTTATTTTTTTCGGTTGGCTACGACCACAAATTTTCTTCAAGTGTTGTGCTGTGAAAAAAAAAAAGCTCGTGTAACCCTCAGAGAGGACTGCAGAAACATTCACTGCAGTTAAACCAGTCACTCTTGTGACTTTGAACAGCAATTACTGTAAAATTCTACAGTAGGATCAGTTGATCATAATCGTGAGCCGAGCTGTTTTGGATCATTGTCCTGCTCGAAGATCCAACCACGGCCCAGTTGAAGTTTTCTGGCAGAGACAGTCAGGTTCTCACATCTGTTGATATTTGATAGAGTCCATGATGCCATGTATCCTAACAAAATGTCCAGGTCCTCTGAGAGAAAAACAGTCCCACAACATTAAAGATCCACGTCCATATTTAACCGTGGACATGAGGGACTTTTCCATACGGCTACCTCTCTGTGTACCAAAACCACCTCTGGTGTTGATTACCAAAAAGCTCTATTCTGGTTTCATCTGACCATAGAACCTGATCCCATTTGAAGTTCCAGTAGTGTCTGGCACACTGAAGACACTCGATTTTGTTTTTGGATGAGAGTAGAGGCTTTTTTCTTGAAACCCTTCAAACAGCTTGTGGCAATGTAGCTGACTTCAGATTGTAGTTTTGGAGACTTTCTGACCCCGAGACACAACTCACTTCTGCAGTTCTCCAGCTGTGATCCTTGGAGAGGTTTTGTCCACTCGAACCGTCCTCTTCACAGTGCGTTGAGACGATACAGACACACGTCCAATTCCAGGTCGATTCATAACATCTCCAGTCGACTGGAACTTCTTAATTATTGCCCTGATGGTGGAAATGGGCATTTTCAATGCTTCTGCTATTTTCTTATAGACACTTCCCACTGTGTGAAGCTCAACAACCTTTTGCTGCACATCACAGCTACATTCCTCGGTCTTACCCATTGTTATGACTGACTGAGGAAATTTGGCCCGTGTGTTACGTCATATTTATACCCCTTTGAAACAGAGAGTCATGTCAATTCCCTATTCCTAGTCACTCTAAAACTATAGAACGTATAGCATCAAGTATAGAAAGCATTTTTTTTACACACCCAGTTCTGTGAGTTACGTCCAGAATAAAAAAAAAACATCAAGACGTGCGGTTATAAGAAAACTATCTGCAATGGCGTGGTGTCAGACTGTTGATTACTTTCCAATACCAGCAGGTTTTATTCCTCTTCTACCACGGCGATGCGCGGGTGGTTAATATAAACCCGATTTGCATTACAGCCGTGACTGCCGTCATAGCCGCTGTTTAATCAACACCTCCTGACGAATCAGATTAGAGCATTCAGCAGCCCTGTGGTATAAAAGCCTTTTAAATGCTTGATGCTTAACTAATTTTTAGCTTCACCAGAAGCAAGGGTGTAAACAAGCCATTTGAAACTGGACGTGTTAACGACCGTGGCTCCTGTTTCCTTTCGCAAACTGCGGCGTGTGAATTTTCCGACAGAAGCACAGCCCCGGTCATTCTCGCGTTGGAATATTCAGTTGGTGTGTGTGTGTGTGTGTGTGTGTGTGTGTGTGTGCACGAAGCTGTGCGCTCTGGGCAATTAGGTGTAGTGTGAAAATGAGCCTGCGTCTGTAATTGGAATTGTAAAGCAGCCCGAACAGCGGTCAGGCTCAGCGAAACACAAGAATTCCCACGGTCCTCTGGGAAATCGGGCGAACTGCTGTTACTATGACAACTAGCTGCTACTGCCGAGAGTGAGCGAAAGAGAGTGAGAAGCGCGAGAAATAAATATATAATTAAACAACAGCAATAGAGACGGATTTGCTTTCACTCCTCTCATGAAATCCGACATAAATGAGAGGAGAACAGGCGAGATGGAGATGCGGTGTGTGTGTGTGTGTGTGTGTGTGTGTGATGAGTTACACAAATAGTCTGGAACACATTATGGTGAGAGATAATGTTTAGAAGAGTGGCCTGTGTTCTGTTATGCCATTTCCCCATGTCTTTTAGGAAGAAAAAAATAAGTCCATCACAGTGTCTCATGATTTATGATTTATAAACTCAATCGTCATGAAGAAAAAAAAAAAAAAAAACAGGTCTGGACAGTAGACACTGAAATGATAGGATTATTTAAATCAGAGCTTGACTTTTACAAAGAAATGTACACTGTACATGTGTTAAATGCGTAAGGAGGCGGAGCTAGCGGTGTGTCGCTCAAGGAGTCGACGCTTTATATTTATATATATATTTATATATATATATACCTGAGCTGTTTTTTTCTACTTCCTCCTCTTCTTTGCTGTTACTGTATACGTGCAGACCAGTCTTTATCCTGGTCAGAGTTGCAGTGAGGTTTAATAGAATCAAACATAGTTAATAACATACTGTACTCGATCGAATTCAGAGAGTGTAGCACGCTGTGCCATGAGGCGAGGATGCAAGTGTGTTGTTTCTGTAGGGCGAGCATCATCATCATCATCATCATCATCATCATCATCATCATCGTTCTTCCATGCCAGAGTCAGACGACAGGCCGGCAACAACAAATAAACATAATCTATATTCCATAAATGAGAAAAACACACGGAAACACGGAACTAGGAAACCCGAACAAGACACAGACGTGAACACGCAAACGCACACTAACGACGCGCAAGACCTCGTCAAGAGACAAAGACACAGGAGGTTATAAATATATAAAACTAATCGAGGGAATGAACTGAGAGCATGAGGGTATAATCCGGGAACATACAGGGCAGTCACAAGGCAGAGGAGGAGTGTGCAAAAATAAACGCACATGTTCGTTGTAAACGAAAAAAACAACAACAACAACAAAAAAAATAGAGCAGCGCTTATGGTGAGCCTGTCACACACTGAAAGAGGAATTTTTGTTGTTGTTGTTGTTTTTTTTTTTCATTTGCGATGCGACGAGTTTTTTGCGCCATTTATTTATTTATTTTTTTGCGGAAAACTCCTTGAATCGGCGCAATTGCAATCACACTAAATAGTTTCACTCGGTCTCTCTCGCTCAACGCATGTGAACCGAAGAGCTTTGGCTGAATACGTGGTCTGATGATGTCACATGACGCGTCTTGGCCCAGAGCGGCGGAAATTCTCCAGCGATTTCGAAAGATTGCAAGCTCCTCCGAATATTGCTTGATCTTGCGTTCATTTCTGCGATCGCAAAAAAAAAAGCCAAAATCCTGGAAGGACTGGCTAATAACAGAAATTAAGCAATATCACATGAGCAAGAGTGCGGATAATACTGAATATCGGAATTGTGATACTCAGAATAACGACACGATTGCGAGCTCGATATTGCTTTTATACAACAGATCTATAAACAAGAAAATTGATATCGATGAAGTGACCTTCTGGACACAAGATGGCCAAATAACGTGTTTATTTCGAAAAAACAAACTTTTCCACGATATTCTAATTTTTCGTGATGCGCCTGTATGTGGCAAAATATTAATCAAAGTTTAGGAGCTTTTTTTCAGGTGTAAACATGGATTTAAAAAATCCCAGAAGTCCACCACCAGGTGATGTAATACTTTTCCCAACGGGTGATCACTCCTGATTGGTCAGAGCAGAACAAAAGAGAAAAAGAAGCATCCATGGAAGTACACGGCTAAAGTATTATTGTATTTCAGTCTTAAAATTAAAACCATTTTAGTACGATTCATTTCTATCTTCTGTACAAGCTCATAAATGGCTCCTAAAGAAAGGCTTTTATAATCTCTCCTACATCTTACCTTGTTTTGCTTTCTCATGTATGATGAGTTTGTGAGGAATTTATTCCTGTAGCTTTCTGCCTTTGCTATATATATATATATATATTAGTTAGCACGTTCGCCTCACACCTCCAGGGTCCGGGGTTCGATTCCCACCGGGGCCCTGTGTGTGCGGAGTTTGCATGTTCTCCCCGTGCTGCAGGGGTTTCCTCCGAGTACTCCGGTTTCCTCCCCCAGTCCAAGGAGTAAGCGGTAGAAGATGGATGGATGGATGGATGGATATATATATATATATGGTTTTTTTCACCTGCATTCATTCATTCGCATTTTTAAGAAGCTTCAATTTCCATCATCCAGCCCTGTGACATACAGAAAAAGACACCAAAAATTTGACAAAAACTCCAACAAAAATGAATAAATAATATGAAGATATTTATTAAAACATCCATCCATCCATCCATCCATCCATCCATCTTCTACCGCTTACTCCTTCTTCAGTGTCACAGGGAACCTTGAGCATATCCCAGGGAGCATCGGGCACAAGGCGGGGTACACCCTGGACAGATTGACAATTCATCGCAGGACACGATCACATACACACTCACACACACACCCATTCATACACTACGGACACTTTAGACACGCCAATCAGCCTACCATGCATGTCTTTGGACTGGGGGAGGAAACCGGAGTACCCGGAGGAAACCCCCGCAGCATGGGGGAGAACATGCAAACTCCACACACACACACACAGGGCCCCAGCGGGAATCGAACCCAGGAGGTGTGAGACGAACGTGCTAACCACTAAACCACTGGGGAGGAAACCGGAGTACCCGGAGGAAACCCCCGCAGCATGGGGGAGAACATGCAAACTCCACACACACACACACAGGGCCCCAGCGGGAATCGAACCCAGGAGGTGTGAGACGAACGTGCTAACCACTAAACCACCGTGCGCCCATTTATTAAAACAGTTTGAAGAAAAAAAAAATGAGGTGATTTTTGAGCAGTAGTTTTCAGTCAAGAGAGAGAGAGAGAGAGAGAGAGAGAGAGAGAGAGAGACAGACAGACTCTGGAGCAGGGAAGAAAAAAACGAGCGCTCTGTGTGATATTTCCATCTGCTCATTTTGTTATTGCGGCGTTTCTGTTTTCTATATTAATGAACTGCTTTAGCGGCAGCTGGAGGACATCGAGCCAGTGATCCCTTTCAGTTTACTAGAGTCGAGAGAGAAAGTTTGCGTAAAGACTCCAAAGTTTGTCACGGCCTCACGATAAACGTGCGAGCATGGTGACTTTAACGTAGTTAATACGCAGGTAGTGGGTACATGAAATTTACACGTGTGGTTTTTAGACACGTCTGTGTGTTATGTTTTGTCAGTTCCCGCCAGGATTTCACGGTCGCAGAAATGAACGCGAAATCGAGCAAACTCCGCAATATTCGGAGGAGCTCGCGTTTTTTTTTTTATTTATTTTTTTTTCAAAAGCGCCGTACATTTTCCGCAGATTTGGGCCGAGACATCGAGTCGTTCAGTCAAAGCCCTCAGTCACGGTCACGCTTACTGTTCCAACAAACGAAAGACCGTGCGAAACAAATTCGTGCGATTGCGATTTTTACAATTCGGGTAGTTTTTCGCCAAAAGTTGCATTTCAAACTTCAAAGAAAAAACGAAACATAATATAGCAAAATGTAGCATTTTTTGTCACAACAGTCACAAAAAACTCAATCGGATTTGATACGTTTTGATTGTGTTTGTAGTGCATGTTTTTTTTGTTTTTCACGTGATTCGTTTATCTTGACATGTAGGACTTTTATTTTTTGACATTTAACTCATCACACACGATGTCAAGTGTTTAGTAACTTTACTAATGAGTCAACACTCAGTTTCGGGGACACAGCACGTTAAAATGCACTTTTATACTGTACGTTCGTCCTTCACGTGATCACGGATTACTCACGTGTCGAAATGTACAGTGTACAAATGTACAGCTCGGTCGTTTAGTGGTCTCTCACGGGGCGGCTGCGGATCAGGTGGTAGAGCGGGTGGTCCGCTAATCGTAGGGTTGGCGGTTCGATTCCTGGCCCACGTGACTCCATGTCCTTGGGCAAGACACCGGATCTCTACGTTGCTCCCGATGGCCAATTACCATTGCGACCATTTATCTCAGTGGGTTAGACGTCGGATTAGTGATCAGGATGTCGTGAGTTCAAATCCCAGTGCTGCTACTGTTGGGCCCTTGAGCAAGGCCCTTAACCATCAGTAGAGTAAATGAGATCCGTATAAGAGCGTCTGCCAAATGATCAGAAACAGGGACGGAAAGATAAAATCATCATGATGATTGAAATGTTTCATGTAAAATTCAAACTATCCTTTTGTTTTCGTACGGAGCCCCCCTAGTGCCAGGTGCCGGGTTGATCGGGACGTTAGCTGACCTGTCTGTGAGATGTTCTATTCTTTAAATATGTTCTATAGATGTTCTAGTCTTTAAATGTTCAATCCTCAGCAGGGATGGACAGGGACATGGATTTGTTCCAGTCTTGTTGGGCTTATCAGATTCTGCTGAAGATTCACTCAAGTTGGATTTCATTCTCACCTATTTTTAGTGGCTATTATACCGACGCTTCAGAGCTTCGGAGGGTTTGTGTTACATGGTATGTGTATCAGTGGAGGTACAGTGTTTGGAATGGGCTCAGTGCTGCCATCGTGTGGCTGTTAGAGATGGTAAACAGAATATAATGGTGTCAGAGAGAGGGGTTGCTCTCATTTAAAACAGCATGCTAACAGATTGAATCTCTCTCTCTCTCTCTCTCTCTCTCTCTCTTTCTCTTTCTGTCTGTACTATATACACCTCTTTCCATGTCTGTCTCTCTTTCTCTATCGTTCTCCTTTTCTCTATCTCTGCTGCTCTCTCTGCATCACTATCTGACTCTTTCTCTCTCCACCTCTTTCACACACTTTCTCTCCCTTTCTCTCTGCCCATCTCTCTCTTTCTCTCTATCTCTCTATCCTTCTCTCTGCATCTTTTTCTCTCCGCTCTCTCTCTCTCTCTCTCTCTCTCTCTCTCTCTCTCTCTCTCACACACACACACACACACACACACAACACACACACACACACACACACACACACACACACACACACACACACAATATTTACAGTATATATACTATATGCCTCTCTCTCTCTCTCTCTCTCTCTCTCTCACACACACACACACACACACACACAATATTTATATTTACTATATGCCTCTCTCTCTCTCACTCTCTCTCTCTCTCTCTCTCTCACACACACACACACACACACACATGCTTTATTAGCATGACTCATTTAATGTTGCAAAAGCAAATGAATATAAAAGTTATAAAGGCAATAGTACAACAATAATGAATAAAATAAACACTAACTATCAATAAACATGAATTAAATTAGCAGATGTATTGCAGTAAGATATGCAGTATGGAATGAATTGATATAAATCGCATAGATATATAATATTTGATCATAGATTAGTATTAGGATCAGATTGGATTTCTTATGTGATGAGGAGTGAATATGAACGCAGCCGCCAGCCGCACACTTCCTTCATGTTCCCCTAAGACACAGCTCAGTCTGTGCTCCGGGGTCACAGAGGAGAAGTTTGGGATGATGGCAGTGAATTTCTGGTAATATTCTTGTCTGATGTGGTTATATTTTGGACAGATCAGACTGAAATGCAGTTCTGAAATGTTCTCTCTCTCTCTCTCTCTCTCTCTCTCTCTTCTCTCTGTGTGTACAGCTACCCTGCGGTGTGTGAGTTTCTACAGACTAATAACCTGCTCTCAGTGATCAGAGCCCACGAGGCGCAGGACGCAGGGTAAGCGGAACAGTTTGCAACCACTCACATGAGAACCACATCACTAAATTCACTTCAAATAAACCGCAGTTTTACTGCAGCACCAGAAAATCTCCACCTGACTTTAATGTGGAACCCCATCACTGCACATCACTCCACACAGGGCTGCAGTGTAGGTAGTATTCAGGTGTGAAATACATCACATGTGGGGAGTCAGAGGAACGCTTGAAACATACTCGATCCGTCGATAAATTAGCAACCAGACGATTTTGGTTTATTTACTTACTCATTTATTTTGGACAGAAATCCGGACACTGGTGAAGTGGTTAATCATGAGATCTCATAATCGACATGATATACGAGATGTAATCTTCAAGCCGGAAGTCGATTATTTCCCGATAACAGCGGGGGGGTTTTTAAATTTTTTTTATTCCTATTCTTTATTTATTAAAGAACAACATTGTACTTTTTATCCGTTTATTTAAACGTCAACGTTTGATGTTTTTGTTTGATGTTGCGGTTCCTATAGAAAGAATGGGATCTGACAATAAATTCCTGATTCTATCAGTGTGTATTTCTCCATGAAAAGCCGTAGCACTCCAAACAAAAGCCGTAGCACTTACGCGGCTTAACGACTTCAGCGGTATTACAATGGACTTTTCCCTCGACATGCAACACTGAAACATGTTGAAACTCTGCATGTTAACACACAGCGCTGCTTAGAGTAAACAGCACAGGTTGGTCGGTGTTTCTAAGTGAATTCCACACCTGTCCCTAATATTTCCACGTATATATTTTGCCACGTTTAAATCCCCTACCTAACAGAATCCACCTAAAATAATTCTCTCAGTCATTAGGATGACTAAAACTAACACTGCGCTGGTGTTGACATTTGCGTAGGGGAATAACGGCTGGGTGGAGACAAAACCGCAAATCTCACTGTCAGCAAAGCAAACGACACTCATGCAGAAGTTCTGTCTAGCTTTCTGGATTAACTCTTATAGAGGACGGTTCTGTGTGAAATAGAAGGTTTGCCATTCAGAAACAAAAAAAAAAAACCCAAACAAGTTCCTAAGAAAAACGTTGTAGAGAATCATTAACTATCCAAAAGAAGAAAAAAAATCCATATATTTATCCATCCATCCATCCATCCATCCATCTCTACCAGTCTGCTTAATATTCATCCATCTATATATCCATTCATCCATTATTCTCTAACAGCTTGCTTTAATATGCCTCCATCCAACCTCCACCAGTCTGATCTATCCATCCATCTGTCCATCTTATTGTACTAACCAACTCTCTGTGCATCTTTTTTATCTACCTCTACCAGTCAGCTTACTTTCCATTCCTCAATTCATCCATCCATCCATCTACTTATTCATCCTTCTCTATAAGTCTCAGGCCATTCCTTCCTACCAGTCTACTATACAAGCACCCGTCCATCGATCTGTCCATTGATCGTCCTGTACTAGCCTGCTCTATCATTCCATTTATCTTCCTCCACCAGTCTGCTTACTTTCCATACTTCCATTCATCCATCCATCCATCCATCCATTTATTCATCATTCTCTACATGTCTCTATCCATTCCTTTCTACCAATCTATCATCAATCTATCCATCCATCCATCCATCCATCACCTTTCCTTGCCTACTCTATCACTCCATTTATTCTCCTGCACCAGTCTGCTTACTTTCCATCCATCCATCCATCCATCCACCTTAACCAGCCTGCTTACTATCAACACATTCATCCATCCAGCTATTTGTTGATCCTCCTCTACCAGCCTGCTTAATATCCCTCCACCATCCAAACTTATCACCATCCTTGATCATTTCCTAGCTTGCTCTATGCTCCTCTACCGGTCTGTTAACTTTCCACCCATCCAGCCATCCATCTGTCCGTCCATTCATCCATCCCTCTGTACCAGCCTGCTCTGCATTTCTTCCATCATCCATCTATTGTGCCTCCTCCAGAATAGGA